GAGGGATGTGAACCAACAGCTACTTCATATTACCTGCTGTCCTTTATATTTATGGAAACTCTTTAATGATTAATAGTTGAATCAAACCTACTGAGGAAGTGGTTACCCATCTTTCTGAATTCCTCTTATAGAGACAAGATGATCTTGGGTTGAGGTTTGTTTTGTAGTTTCCATTGGAATCTTACAGGGTCGGTTGTAGTGGATTGGGTATCCTCTATGTCATTTTCTGGGAATTCATAGGGGAGAAAATTGAAGATGAGAAAATCAAATGCTATTTAACTTGCTTAGTAAGATTCTAAGGAGTGGGTATCAGATTTTGAATTGGTGGTGGATGGCGGAGATGAAATGGTCAATGTTCATGGGAGACGCAGAATAGTTAGGACTAAGAAAAGAGGAATAAGGTTATTAATGGCTATTTGCTAAAATAGTATAATACACAGTTTCTATCATGTGACAAGATTGTGTTATTTGCTTTACAGAAACTTGGTAAACTTATCAGTAATCCTGTGAATGAATTTTGTGGATTAAGAAGCAGGTTCTATGAAGAAATTTGCCCCAAATCTCTGTTGAGTGGTAGAAACCTATCTGCAAAGTGGTTGGCATAATGTATCCCTTCCATCAGTTAAGAAGCTGCTGGAGCACTACCTCTTTTGTGGAACTGAAGAGGTCAATTGGCTCAATCTTCCTTAGATGCAGTAAAGCTAATGATTATGTACAAATTTCCATTCTTTCATTGCCATTGAGAGGGAGGTAGGGATTGGATAGCATTGACAGAGACATGGTAAGAAAGTATCATCTGAGAATAAGAACAAATTTAAATGGGTAGGAGTAAGTAGAAGGGAGAAAAATTATATGGCTCCAAGTCCGTTAGTATTGATCTAAGTGACATTTCTACAAACCAATTCAGACTTTTCTTAAGTATAAATTGACCTATATCCTAATTTTGAGAATATAGTAATAGCAAAACTAAACCACTGCACAAGATTCATAAACTAAGATCAGCCTCCTCCTTTGTCACCTCCATTGCATTTTAAAAGGTAAGATGAATTTATAATAAAATTTATAATAAATACATATACATTTATAAATATTTATTGATCACCTGCTTTGTTGCATGACACTTGGCTAAGCTGAAGATACAGAATAGATGAGGGGCTTGCCTCTACATATAGACAAGGAAAAAGATAAACTTCAGATAATTAGTTATGCAGACTTCACAGCGATGTGAAGAGACTACTTGATTATGTGGACTGGGAAGCACCCCTAGGAGGTGACATTTAAGCTAGCAACTGAATAACAAAAAATGAACTATTCCTACAAATCTAATATAAGAGGAAGAAATTCTGGGCCTGGTTGGTGTGAAGGTGAGCACAGGCTTGTTCCCCTCCTTCTCTCCCAGGACTTTATCATAGAGGTTAAGGAGAGAGCATGTTGGAGGTTGACTTGGAGAGGTGGGAAGGGGCAACATTATTGATGTTTGCACTTGCATGATGAAGAAGGATATTCATATTTGAGTAAATGGCATCTAAATTGGTTATGGACATAATGCCAAGAGGCCGCATGAACAGGTTTTGTTGCTATGTACCACCAAACGCTGCAGTGCACTATGCTAGCCTGCAATTTTAAAGTTTTTGTTGCTTCCTATTAAAGCTAATGCATTTATTACATTGTCAGTCCTGAAAAGCACCTAGTACCTAGTCCAATGTAATAATGTAGTAATTAGGTCTCACCTTATAAGTATTGAAATAAATAGTGAAAGAAAACTTTGCTTTTAATCCTTGCCACAAACTGTATCCCCAACTTCAACTATCTATTTCACAAGTAATCCTCATGGTTATTTAGGGACCATAAGGCCTAGTTGATCAGTGAAAATTCATCATTACTCAAAAGCAACTCCAAATATATTTCTTAAGCAATACTGTGTATAATCTAAAATGGCCTGTTTTTACAAGAGATTGTACAAGAGCAAGATTTGTACTTGCTCCCTTCTGAATTTCATGCTTCACACTCTTTGGAAACTGAAATTAATCTATTGAAATAGTATTATCCACCTGTATTTATCTACAATACTGTGACTACACCAATGATGTTAAAAATGGTGTTGCTTCATCACATTCGAGGACTTGAGGGAGAAAAACATTCGTTCATTTCATTAAAAAGGACTTGTTTTGTCTTTTTGAAGTATAAAATTGGTATTAGCAGTTTTTGTATGGGTCTAGTCACAAGAGTAAAGAGCTGATTTATGACTTCCTAACTCCCATGACTCCTCATTCCAACTGGCACCATTCTCCATGCCACCAGGGTCCCCTCTATCTTGGTAATACTTCTGGTTACACAAGCTCCAAACGATCACATTTCCTCTTGATAAAATTGTTTTCCTATTTAAAATTCCCAGGTCCTTACTGTTTCTCCAGTAGTCTCTTTGGGACCTTACTCTGTGCTAATGCTTCAGTGAGTTTAGAAAACAAAGTTCTATTTTTATAGTCAAGCCATAGCCTTTCTTTCAGGGCTGTTTCCTCAAGCATTTCATCTTGCAAGCAGGCTCTAGGAATTAGGTCTGCCTACCTCTCTTCTTTCCAGCAGTCACCCATCTACCTTTTTTCCAGGGAATGCTTCATCTATCCTTGGCTTTGGGAAACCTGTTAGTTCTTGGATTCCTAGTGAAAAAGCCTATGTCAATTAAGAGGCTGACTTTGTTTTTACTTTATCTTTTCTATGTTGTACCAGTGTCTGCAAACTCTCTCATCCAAACACAGATGTGTTGCGGAACAGGAGTTTGAAGAACTAAATTAATACTGACCATGTTTGTATCCTTTCTTTGGGGGTACAGGTGATAGGCATAGCTAAAATGTGGCTTTGGTTAGCTGTAAAAAATATCTGTAGGTGTAGGGAACAAATATAAAGAGCTTAAATGTGAACTCTACAATAGCTTCATATAGAATATCTCTGTGCTACAAATAATTTTCTTCTGGGATCCCTGGGTGGCGCAGCAGTTTGGCGCCTGCCTTTGGCCCAGGGCGCGATCCTGGGGACCCGGGATCGAATCCCACGTCGGGCTTCCGGTACATGGAGCCTGCTTCTCCCTCTGCCTGTGTCTCTGCCTCTCTCTCTCTCTGTGACTATCATAAAAAAAAAAAAAAAAATTTTCTTCTGGATATGCTTCCCCCATGCCAGCTCAAAGAACTATAGAATGTTTTAAGGACATCACTGAATGATTAACTTGGTTGTGACTGCCTTTAGTAGGTAAGACATACATGCAATAAACATATGCAAGTATATTCTCCTGGCTTTTGTCCCTTAAAGAACTGCAAATAGACCTGAGTTTAGGAAAACTATTGGCATTCTTTTATCTTTTGAGCAATGCTCTCTACCATTTTTATGATTTATGTGGGCATTCTAATCCAATAATACTAAAAGTTTGTTTTACAGACTTTTAATTATGACAAATTTAAGAAACAATTCTGCAATCATATCTATGACCTAATTCTTTGGATTTTCCTTTAACTTAAAAAACACAGAAATAGGTACCATCTTGCTACCACTGATGGACCCAATATTAGAAATTATCCAAATCTATGATGTAAAATACTTGTCAATATTTCTGATAACTAAAAACAATGACCTTAATCATGTTTCATATTGCAAAAAGCAGAATAGCTTTCTATTCCTATTTTCTCTTGAACAAAGGTGTTATGGTTAGAAAAACTCAAAGTAAGTTGAATACCGCTGATGCTGACCAAAAGTTACCACTCAGTGGTACCAGATGTAGCAAGATTCTTAGTTGAAAATACATACTTAAATTTAGGATGATAAAACATTGAAATCTAAGTTTTAGGTAGTCTTTCCAATTGTTGAAGTATGGATTTCTGTAATAAGAAAAATAGGGTTTAGAAAACCCAAAACTTCCCTCCTTTTATAATAGAAGTCCTTAATGAAATTAACTATTATAGCTTCTTTGCTTACTGAGCATTGTGTAATGCAGTCCACCACTAATAATCTTGAGGGACTTTTTTTTGGCAGTGGATCATGGCCATGAAATTTTTGTGAACCATCATGAAGATGACTGCAATTAGGGTTTTTGGGTAAAAATCAAATGTTTATAATACACTCTTTGTAGTAAACACGTTTTTTTTTTTTTTTTTAAGTAAGAAAAATTTGTCTTTCACCTTTGCTATTACCTGCCAATTTGTAACACCAAAAAGGAACCAACTGTTAGTGTGTGGACTCTTGGAAGATCACCATTTTAGCTAGCACTGTGCTCAGAAAAATGTGGGGAAAATGGAGCAACAGCCTGATGACCCTTTCCTACTTGCCTTGTACAATCGGAATTGGTTTGTAGCTTGCACTCTTCTAGAGATGAATAATACATCCCTCTTACCTACAGTGTGTTTGTGATTTGTTAAGCAGCTGTGTTTAAAACTTTTCTGCATTGTTTCATTTTTGGTAAACATATTAAGGGACTTGAACAGGGGCAGAGGTGTAAGGATCAGTAGGCAATCATTCCTAGAGAGAGATGTTAATTATGTAGGATGCTTGTCTTCTCCATTAGATCAGCAGCTCCATGAAAGAGGGGACTGTGACCACATCCCTAATGTTTCCCCAGCATATGGGGTAGAATTCAAACATTCAGTGGATAGAGAACTGTTTGACATCATGAGGAAGCCATCTGCTGCCACAAAGTAACTAATACACTTAATGCTCTCTGATAGACCTAACTTTCAAGGAAAATAGACTTGCAATGAACTAGAATTTTGCTGGCTGTTGTCCTGGCTCTTTGATAAACAGCATGACCATACATAACAATATGGCAGTCATTTGAGCTCTCTGTATCTTGGTGAATGAATTTCTGAAATTAAGGACTTTGAGTAGGTGGACCCAGCTTGAAAATTCTGGATGTCATTCAAATTCTAAACTGCTTTCCAGTTTTGAAATCACTTAACAAAAGTCAAAGAGCACAGAACTTTCAGGTTATAAGTAATAGACAATGATTATTAGAAAATTTAAAATTTTTAATAAATGTGCTTTGTTCACAAAATGTGAAAAAATACAACAAACACAAACATACATTTTCAGGTATGCCATCTCCCACCGTTTGGCAACTACGATATAAACCATTTTTGATCTAGTCATGATCCTGAAGAATCTAACCGAATATCATTTAGTTTGAAACTCCAAATATTTTGGAGAATCCTGTTATGAGACAGGAGATGCCTTAAAATTTACTTATATCCAAATGAAATCACTCTCAAGAGTACCCACACAGTATTAAAAGGCTCTGTTAACTTCTCTTGTCATTACATATATAATCTGGCACCAAGCCACAAGGACTGCTTATATTTTAACACTTAAATGTTAAATTGGCTTTGGTGGAATATGTATTAGTTTAAATCCTGTACCAACCTAATTTGAAGCTGAATTTACAGTAACAAATGATATTTATAAATCCAAACAAATTTTTACTAAGTGGGAGTAGGTTTTATAAAGAGACTTTTCTTTTAAGTACTACTTAAAATAAATCATGCACACTTTGGAGCATAAGCAGAATCAACATCTGTAAACAATCAGAAGAATTTATAGCACCAACATTTTAGCTGTAACACAAAGGCTGACTCCAAGGTCATACTTACACCAGCCTCTCAAAAGCGCAGTTTTCATTTACTTTCAAAGCATTTTAATTAGATATATTGTTTGCCTTTAAGATTCTATTCAGCCAAATCAAAGGAAATGGGCAGTATGGTAAAAGAGGTACTATGAAAATACAGTTTTGTGTTACCTGAACACAGTGGGGGATTTCCCCCCCTTCTTTTGGGGGAAGATACAAGATATGACCTGTAGTACTTAACTGGAAAGAGAAGTCAATTCTAATTATTAAGGACTCAGGCTATTGAAAGTAAATGAAACCTTTCAAATTACTTTTGGCATAGTTGAGCAACCGATATTTATTGCATTCATTCAACTGACTTTTCAGGTTAATTACAATCCTGTTACTTTATTAATTTAGAATGTGAAATTTAATTTGAAGTATCAGGTATATATATCCAAACACTGATATCTTAAAGGGAAGTTTTGTCTTTCTAAATAAAGTTTGACATTCAAAGTTAACTACAGCAACTCACAATAAGCACAAAAACATCAGTTTTACCAGAGTAAAGAAGTGCAGTTTATGAAATTTAGGATCAACTATTGAAAATGCAAGTTTCCTTTAAAAACACCCACACACACACACACCCCCACACACGCACACACACATTAACCATGAATTCTGAAACTGTGATATTTCAGTGCAAAAACCTCAGTATGAGGTAATTTTAATGTAATAACCACTTGAAAAAAAAATCCACACAGTGGCACTCTTAAAAATGACAGTTTACATGACAATTGCTGGCTGACAAGACAATGTGGACCAAATGTTCTTAGCTATTTAAACTAATCTTGTCTTGTTTGGACATATTTTTCTTCTTAATCATTTGCTTCTGATTCAGAAACACAAAGTTATTTATCAATGTGGAAAGGGAAAATTCCCACAGCCAACTAACGGTTTATATATCAAAAGAAAATTTCCTGCTAGAATTTTGATAGAAATTAGAATATCGAAAGGTCAAAACCATTTTATGAGATTGCTAGCAGAGGGTTAATTTAAAATGTTTCTATATAATTCCAGACTTGTAGTGCAGCACACCTCCTTAATGGAAAGGTGAGGACCCTAACAAGGTTGGTCTAGACAGAACATAAACTCTAACAAGTGCAAACCCTTTCACAAAGGTGTTTCAGGTCAGGATTGAGTATTGTTCCTTGCTTAAATAGAAAATTTTGTAAATGAAAACTAAATTTAAAAAAGGTAAGAGTGAACTCTCACAGTTAAATATACTTAACACCAAGGCCTAAATCAATATGAAAGATACGAACATTCTACTTTGGCAATGGTGTTGATTATACTGTACTAATGAAATTAGAATACATACTTGGGGGAAATCTTTCCCCAAATGTCTGATGCTGCCAAATGAGCAAAAAAGAAAACAAATTATCAATTCCAAAATGTTGATGAAATGCTGGATCATCAGACAAAACTGCAGAAAATGGCTTTCTGTAACAGATAACAATTTAGCTAGAAAAGAGAGTAAGTGCATCACAAAACAACTAAACCAATCTATCTCTGTGTCACATTTAACTTGTGAGTCATCAAAGTGCAAGCTACAGCTTTCTACATATCTTTCTCATTGCAATGGTTTAAAAGTCAACACTGAAAGATTAAAAGAAAATACATAGCAAGTTATGCTTCACTTTTCACAATAGCACTAAAGAAAAAAGGTACCTTTCTATGATATCTTAGTGCTAAATGCTAAAGTAACAGTGGTTTCTGCTATGACAGGAGTCACTCTGCATGAAACTTTAAGCTTTCTATATAAGAATAAATTTTAAAATCCAGAAGTAGAAAAAAATAGCAAACTCTGTAAACCTTTGCATTTCTTCTATGCAAACCAGGTTTAAGTACTGAGTTCATGTTAGTATTTCTGATTAGTGTAAGCAATTAGTTTAGGAGTCCGGACTGAAAGGGCCTTTTACTTTGATATTAACTTAAAAGTAATATAGGATCTTCTAGCTCATAGAAAGGAATAGAGCTGGCTTGACTTTCTCCAGAATCTGAGTCGTATGGAGCATCAGGGAGCTCTGTGAAACCATATGCTAGTTGTTCATCTTCTATATCTGATCGAACGTAGCACGAAGGATTAGAATATTCCTCCTCTTCTATACTGTTGAAATCTTGAGGAATATATAACATCCCTGGGTAGTTCCTACTAACCAAGTCACTTGTGGTTTTTAGGGAGGTTTTTCTAAATGCCATCAAATGCATATGTGAAAATTTTGAATACTTGAAACGTTTAAAGCCCAGGGATTCTATAGCAATCTTCCAGCTTTTCATCATCATAGCATGACGGTTCTGATGGGAGGAATCAGGTGTGATGATAAGCAATAAACCATTTAACACTAACAGTTCATGGGCTTTCTTGCAGCAAATCCACCGTTGGTAAGGCGATGGAAAATAAGAAAGGAGGAGAGAGAAAACCACCACGTGGAAAAGTTCTCCAGGAAGAGAATCAATAGGGTTTTTCAGCTGCTTCAAAAAGGCATCTATAGCATCCTGCGCAAGCTGGAGTGGCTGCTGAAGCTGCAAGTTCAGGAAGTCACATTTATATACACTCTGCAGAAAGGGAAAAACAAGGCCTGTTAAGAATGTGAGGACTGACTTCCAATCCTATTACACAAATTTTACACCAAACTATGTCACAGCATTTCTACATTACCCAAGCTTCAATTTTGAATCTTTGCCTTCTACATTATTCCACTTGTACAGACATTCAAACTAAACTTACTCATTAAACACTCAAGAGTAATTAATCAACCCCAGAGAATTTCTACTCATTAAAAAAATATTTTTTTTTAAAATAAAATATTTCTAACAATTTGAAGTTTATTTGGGCAAGAATTTACAAGAAAGATTTATCTAAACTTAGTCCTATTTACATTTACTTCAACATTTACAGTTAACAAAGACAGGCCAGTATAAAAACTTTAAACAAGAAATACCATAAAATAAAGATGAATCAAAGAGGGTAATGAAAGGGGCATTATAAATTTGTAAAAGCACAGCACCAAAACTTTTTAAGATCATGAAAAATGTCTTTAAACCATTAACTTGAATCCTCTTAATGATTTTAATGTTATATTCAATTTAAAAGTTAATACTTATTTAAAAGTATATGTGAAAGTTAACTTAGATGACCATGGGAAATACCACAACAAATGAACACACAGCATTGCATAATTTGCTGAATATTACGACTCCATGGAAATGATCCAGAATAAAACAGTTCAAGATTAGATAAAAATTAGTTGCCCTTTTCACATAATAGTTATTAATAAAGATATGGGATAATACCTTATTCGGTCTTTTTTAAAAGATTTTATTTATTCATGAGAGACCACAGAGAGAGGCAGAGAGAAAAGCAGTCTGCATGCAGGGATGTGGAAACTTTTTTTTAAAAAAAGATTTTATTTATTTATTCATGAGAGACACAGAGAGAGGGAGAGACATAGGCAGAGAGAGAAGCAGGCTCCATGCATGGACCCCGATGTGGGACTCCATCCTGGGACTCCAGGATCATGCCCTGGGCCAAAGGCAGACGCTCAACCACTGAGCCACCCAGGCATCAAAAGTTTTAGTTCTTTCCAATCTTAATTTTTATTTATTTATGATAGTCACACACACAGAGAGAGAGAGAGAGAGAGAGAGGCAGAGACACAGGCAGAGGGAGAAGAAGCAGGCTCCGTGCACCGGGAGCCCGACGTGGGATTCGATCCCGGGTCTCCAGGATCATGCCCTGGGCCAAAGGCAGGCGCCAAACCGCTGCGCGACCCAGGGATCCCAGTTCTTTCCAATCTTGATGACTATTACTGCTTTTTTTCTGGCTCGATTGCACTGGCTAAAACTTACAAGGAATGCTGAATAGAAGTGGTGAGAGGATATACTCTTGTTCTAGTAGGGAAAACATTTTTAAGTATATTGCTAGCTGTAAGTTTTTCATTATGGCCTTTACCAGGTTGAAGAAATTGAGTTCAATTCCTTCTGAGTGTTTTCACTCAGGGAAAGAATATTCGTATTCTTTTTTGAATATTTGGATTTTTATCAGACTTTTTCCTACGCTTATTGAGAGATTATCCTTTTCAGTGTGCTACTAACATGAAAAAAATTGTTTTCTGAAATTAAACCAATCTTATAAACCAAACATGGCCATTATGTATTATTACCCGTTTTGAGATCCTGCATTCAGTATGCTAAAATTTTGTATAGAACACTTGTGTGTATTTTCATTCATTTTTATGGACAAATACTCCATTAGATATGCACACATCACATCTTTATCCATTCATTCATCAATGGACACATGGTTGTTTCCAAACCTTGGCTACTGTAAACGATGTGATGAATATAGGGGTGTATATCTTCTTTTCAAATTAGTGTTTTCATTTTCTTTGAATAAATACCCAGATGTAGAATTGATGGATTAAACAGTAGTTTCATTTTTAATTTTTTGAGAAAACCTGTTTTTCATAATGGCTGCACTAAATTTATATTCCCACCTACGGTGCACAAGTGTTCCTTTTCTCCACATCCTCAGCAATACTTGCTACTTCTTGTCTTTGATAACTGCCATTTTGACTGGTATAAGGATAATTGTGTAAAGCCTGTTTTCATGTACCTCTCTGACCATCTGTATGTCGTCTTTGAAAAAAATGTCTATTCATATCTTCTGCCCAGTTTTTAATTAGACTGTTTCTCTGCTACTGAATTGTGAATTTTAAAGCATATTTTAGATAGAAGTCCCTTACCGCATGTAAAATCACTTGCAGATACTTTCTCCAAATTGGTAGGTTGCCTTTTCATGCTGTTACTGGTTTTCTTTGCACAAGGTTTTTAGTTTGATGTAGTCTCACTTGTTTATTTTTGCTTTTGTTGCCTTTGGCTTTGGTAGATTTAACAAATCATCACTATGACTGACATCAAGGTGCTTATGCCCTATGTTTTCTCATGGGAGTTTTATGGCTTCTGGTCTATGTTCAAGTCTTTAATCCATTTTCAGTTTTTGTATGTAGTGGGGTCCAGTTTCATTCCTTTGCATGGGATGTCCAATTTTCTGAGCATCATTTATTGAAGAGACTATCCTTTTCCCATTGTATATTCTCTGCTCCTTTGTTGTAAATTAACTGACCATATATGCAAGGGTCTATTTCAAGGCTCTCTATTTGTTCTATGTGTAGGTTTAAATACCAGTATTATAATGTTTTAATTACTACAGCTTTTTAATATAGTTTGAAATGAGGGAGTGTGATGCCTCCAGCTTTATTCTTTCCCCAAATTGCTTTACTATTTGGGAGTCTTTTATGATACCGATTAAGTTTTAGGCCTGTTCTATTTCTGTGAAAAACGACACTGCAATTGTGACAGGGATTACACTGATCTGTGTATTGGTTTGAGTAGTATGGATAATTAACAATATTAATACTTATAATCTGTGCTCATAGATTCCATCCTGCCATTTATTTACATCTTCAGTTTCTTTTATTAACATCTTGTAGTTTTCAATATACAGGTCTTCACCTCCTTGGTTAGATTTATTCCTGAATATTCTTTTTGACACAATTGTAAATGGAATTGTTTTCTTAATTTCTCTTTCTGATACTATTAGTGTACAGAAATATAATGGATTTTGTATTAAATTTTTTTTTATCTTGCAACTTTACTGCATTTCTTTATTCTAACAGTTTCCTGATTTGAATCTTTGGGATTTTTTTTTTTATATAGTTAAAATATTATCCTGCAAATAGGGACAGTTTTACTTCCTTCTTTTCAGTTTGGATGCTAATTTTCTTTTCTTGCTTAATTGGCCTGGCAGTACTTATTTAGTACTGAATAAAAGTGGAAATAGTGAGTATCCTTGTCTTGTTCCCGATTTTAGTGGAAAAACTTAAAAGCTTTTCATAGTTGAATAATGATGTTAGTTTTGGGCTTGTCATATATAGCTTTTCTGCTATGTTGAGGTATGTTCCATCCATAACCACTTTATTGAGAATTTCTATCATAAATAAAAAAATACATTCTATTTTATTAAATGCTTTTTCCACATCTATCAAGATACGATTTTTATCCTTTATTTTGTTAATATGGTATATAATATATTGATTTTGTGGATGTTAAACTATCCTTGCATTCCTGGAATAAATATCAATCATGGTATATGATTCTTTTAATGTACTACTGAATTCAGTTTCCTTATATTTTATTGGGGATTTTCTTAACTATATATTAGGGATACTGTCCTGTAATTTTCTTTTCTTACGGCATTCTTGTTTTGTTATCAGGGTAATGCTGGCTTTATAATACGAGTTTGAAATGGTTTCCTCCTCTTCCTATATTTTTCTGGAAGAGTTTGAGGAGGATTTATGTTTGTTAGGAAGGTTTATTTTTTTTAGCATAAATTTTTTAAAAAAATTTAAAATCAATTAACATATAGCTATAACATAACTACCAATTATTAGTTTCAGAGGTAGAGTTTAGTGATTCATAAGTTGCACAGAATATCCAGTGCTCTTTAGATCAAGTGTCATCCTAATGCCCACATTCAGTTACCCCATCCTCAAACCCAGCTCCCCTCCAGCAACCCTAAGTTTATTTCCCATAGTTTAGAGTCTGTTAGGGTTTGTCTCCCTCTCTGATTTCATCTTATTTTATTTTTCCTTCCCTTACCTCATTGTCATCTGTTTTGTTTCTTAAGTTCCACATGTGAGTCAAATCATATACTTGTCTTTCTCTGACTTATTTTGCTTAGCATAACATCTTCTAGTTCCATCCACATTATTGTAAATGGCAAGATTTCATTCTTTTTGATGGCTAGGTGGTAATCCATTACATATGTACACTGTATCTTCTTTACCCATTTATCTGTTGATGGACACCTGTGATCTTTCCACAGTTTCCACAATGTCTAGTGTAGACATTGCTGCTATAAACTTTGGGGTGCATGTGCCCCTTCAAATCACTATGTATCCTTTGGGTAAATATCTAATAGAGCAATTGCTGGGTCCTAGAGTAGCTCTATTTTTAACTTTTTGAGGAACCTTCATACTGTTTTCCAGAGTGGCTACACCAGTTTGCATTCCCACCAACAGTGTAAGAGGGTTCCCCTTTCTTGGCAACATTGCCAACATCTGTTGTTTCCTGATTTCTTAATTTTAGCCACTCTGACTGGTGTGAGGTGGTTATCTCCCTGTGGTTTTGATTTCTATTTCCTGGGTGATGAATGATGTTGAACATTCTTTTCATGTGTCTGTTGGCCATTTTATGTCTTTGGAGAAATTTCTGTTTATGTTTTCTGCTCATTTCCTGACTGGATTATTTGTTTTTTTGGGTTTTGAATTTGATAAATTCTTTACAGATTCTGGATACTAGCCCTTTATCTGATTAAGAGATTTGCAAATATCTTCTCCCATTCTGTAGGTTGTCTTCTAGTTCTGTTGAATGTTTCCTTTGATGTGCAAAAGCTTTTTATCTTGATCAAGTTCAAATAGTTCATTTTTGCTTTTGTTTCCCTTGCCTTTGAAGATGTGCCTAGCGAGAAGTTGCTGTGGCTGAAGTCAAAGAGG